CCCTCCTGAAGGATCTGCCCCAGGGTTATTGCCATGGTCTCCTCTCACTGGGCAGCTTTATGATGGAGGCACCTGTAAAACCAGAGGGCACAGCAGAGGGAGCCGAGCAGAGACCACTGGGCTCATTGTCTCCTCATTTCTGTTTTATGTGATCTTGAATAAATGCACTTAATCTAACATGACTGCTTCCTCATCTGTAAAATGTGAATAAAAGAATAGAGTTGTATATATAGCACTTAGCACAGCACCTGGAATGCAGTTAATGTTGAACAAACACAAGCTGTTATGACTGCCACTGACGTTATCACTAGTTTTCACAGCCCTGGAGGCAGGACATTTATTACCAAGCAGCTTGAATTATTGTAAGCTTATTGAGTCTGACTGCCTTCCTATGGTTATGACACACAGGAACTCTGGTTAGTGTGCAGTGAAATGAAACAATATAGTAAACAAAGATCTGGGTGAGCCCCATCATCCCAAAGAACAGCTATTCCCTATTTCCCTGAGGTCAGGGCCAGGCTGTGCCCCTAATTGGGAGTGTCATTGATTCACTGGGTGGAATCCTGTTGTAACAAAACCTACAAAAGGTTGACCACAGTGCAGAAAGTTTTCCTTGTTCACTCAGAGTAGTAGATCCCATGTCCTGGCATCTGCTATAGACCCAATGCTTCTATCCCAGTGAGAAGCCTCATAGACCCATTTGATAGATAAGGAAGTTAGGTAAGAGAGGATAAAGAATGTCCCAAACCACACAGCTAGTAACTGCAGAGCTGAGCTTGGCACCCCTCCTCTCCCTCTCTGCACTGCTTCTCCGCCCTGGCCTGGCATCCAGGGACTGTGGACAGATGTGCAGAAGAGGAACCAGGCAAGGTAGGAAATTCTGGCTCTCTTCCTTTGCATTCTAGGTGCATCCCTGGCACTTCGCAGGGCAATTGTCTGGATTCCTTTAAGAATCACAGCCATCTGGAATCACAGACTCTGGGGTCCAAATCATCTGATCAGAGCTTGAGAATTGCCCACAGTGTCACCAATGTGCACATGCACACACTCGCCCACACACACATGTGCATGCACATACACATGCACACGCATGTGCACAGATATGCATGCGCACGCATACACAGTATTCTTGGGGGCTCCAGGAGCTCATGACCTCCCACATCAGCCCATCGTGTGAGTGGAGAACTGATGAGCTGCCTTCCCCTACTGTGAACTGAAAGTTTCTCCCCATAACTCCACCCATTAGGGCAAGTTTAGATTCTTTCCAAAGCAGCCAGAGTGGAAAGTGTGCCTTCTCTGCAGTACCCACGCTGCACTGTTGTCCGGAGCAGGGGACACCTAGTTCTCTGGTCCCTATATTGCTATAGTCTGAGGCTCCTTCCTATTGCCCAGGGCACATTTCTTCACTCTTCATGCAGGTCTCTCACAGCTGTCCTCAGTCCTTCCCTTCACCTTTTCACAAGCCTCTTAGAAGCAGAGTTCCCTGGGCAGCCCCCTGATCTCTCAGGAAAGTGCCTTTTTCTTTTTCCTCTGAGCCCATTAATGACTACAAAGCCAGAGCTAAATGTCTGGGAGCTTCCCCACCTTCACAGTCAGCTTCTATTTCAAGGTCTCTGGCCCTCGGTTCCTGGAAATCTTTTCTCTGAATTCTGAGACGTCTGAGGACCTTGTCTGCCAGCCAGATTTCTCCCTTCCCCACGGAGCTCCACAAATGGCTTGGTGGTAGCAAGAGGGGCCAGAACTGCCAGCGGCCTCTTCTCAGTTTCCTCAAGCCGGCGCACACAGGGTCACCTCCACAGTGAGCTTTTGCAACAGCCCATACCCTCCTTCCTCCACCAGCCGTGTCGGGCTCTTGAGCTGACAGTGTAGAGCCTGCTAAGGATTCTCTCTCTTTCACCCACTCTGTCTGTCCCTCCCCCACTTGCGTGCACGCACTCTCTCAAAATAAATAAGTGAACATTCTTTAAAATGTAAACAAACAAACAAACAAGGAACAGGTAAGTTTAGCAGCTCGCTAAGGGCCCAGTGTTGCTATCATATCCCTGGACAGACTCCATGTGCTCGTTTTGCCCTTTGCCTTGACCCCCCAATCAAGAAGGAGCTGTCCGTCCTGATACAGGTGCACTCAAGGAGGGGAAGCCCAGCCCATCATCAGGCTCTTGTTAAAAGTGAGGGACGCTTTCCCAGAAGTACCTCGGCATATACCCCTTCTAGGCTGTTTGACCAGAATTGGGTCATGCGCTCATTTCTAAAACAAAAGCACTAGGAAGGGGCTATAATCAGGACTGGAGAGCTAAACAGACTGTGTCAAGCAAGGCCTGGAAGGACTCTGTCTTCTGAGCAGGCAGATGTCAGATACCCAACAAAACCAGCTGTTGTTAGCAAGGAAGGAGCAAAGCGCACTGCGGGGCTGGCCAGAGCTTCCAAAGGAGCTGAGAGAACAGGCTCCAACTTGGCATGGAGCCACGGGACTGCAGACCCCCGGCCGCCCACAGTAACATCTGTGCGGTCGTGTGTGCTACAGACACCCAGGCGCCGGCATGCGGGAGAGGGCATGCGCCAGCGCCAGGACCTGTGGGAAACTGGGAACTGTGGAGTTGGGAAACACACGTGACCCAAGACATAAATATGTCAAACCATATTTTTAATCTTTTTAAAAGTGTTTTGTTTCTTTTTGAGAGAGAGAGAGAAAGAGAGCACATGCATGTACATGAGCTGGTGGGAAGGATGGGGGAGGTGCAGAGGAGGGGACAGAGGATCAGAAGCAAGCCCGGCCGGCACTGACAGCAGAGAGCGATAGGGGCTCCAAGTCACAAACCATGAGATCGTGACCTGAACTGAAGTCCGATGCTCAACTGACTGAGCCACCCAGGGCCTCCCAAACCATATATTTTTAAACTTGATCTTAAAAGTCACATGAACACAGAGATTCTTAAACTAATTCAAATGAGGAGATTTTAAAAAATGGCAGTCTTTATGGAATGCCGCAAAATCTTGGTCAAATTAATCAATCACATTAGAATAACTTTGTTATTGTTTTTTCATCAGAATAAGTCTTTAATCCTCATCCTCTACTGCCCCCATGCCCCCTCCCACTTCCACTCTGGTAACCCATCAATTTGTTCTCTGTTTATTGGTTTGTGTCTCTCTTTTTTTTCTTTGTGTGTTTGTTTTGTTTTTTAAATTCCATATAGGAGTGGGATCATATGGTAGTTGTCTTTCTCTGATTATTTCACTTAACATAATACTCTCTAGCTTCAACCACATCATTGTAAATGGAAAGATTTCATTCTTTTTATGGCTGAATAATGTTCCAATGTATATATATACCACATCCTATTAACCATTCATCAATTGATGGACACTTGCTGCTATAATTTGGCTACTGTAAATATGCTGCAATAAACATAGGGATGCATGTACCTCTTTGAATTAGTGTCTTTGTATTTTGGGGTAAAATACCCAGTAATGTGATTCCTGAATGATCGGGGAATTCTACTTTTCCTTTTTATGAGCAACCTTCATACTTTTTTCCAGAGTGGCTGCCCCAGTTTGCATTCCCGCCAACCGTGCAAGAGAGTTCCTTTTTCTCCACATCCTCACCAACACTTATCTCTTGTGTTTTTTATTTTAACCATTCTGACAGGTGTGATGTGATATCTGTTTGTAGTTTTGATTTTAATGTCCCTGATGGTAAGTGATGATGAACATCTTTTCATGTGTCTTCTGCCCATTTAAAAAAATTTTTTTAATGTTTATTTATTTTTGAGAGACAGAGAGACAGACAGACAGAGACAGAGCATGAGCATGAGCATGAGCAAAAGAAGGGCAAAGAGACAGGGAGACACAGAATCCAAAGCAGGCTCCAGGCTCTGAGCTGTCAGCACAGAGCCCGACGCAGGACTCCAACTCATGAACTGTGAGATCATGACCTGAGCTGAAGTCAGACGCTCAACGGACTGAACTACTTGGGCACCACTGCCTATTTTTTAATTGGATTATTTGTTTTGGGGGTGTGAAATTATATCAGTTCTTTATATATTTTGGATACTAACCCTTTATCAGACATATCATTTGCAAATGTCTTCTCCCATTCTGTAGGTTGCCTTTTAATTTTTTGATTGTTTTCTTCACGGGAAACTTATAATAACTTTACTAGAGAAAAGTATGTATTCATACATGAAGGTGTATGATCCTCACCAAAGCAATAAGCAAAACAGACTATGCCTGAGTTTTTGTTATTATTAGAATTTAGTTTGGGGACTTTTTTTTTTCATGATTTGGTTGTTTTGCTGTCAATTCCACTTGAGCAAAGAGATAAAAGACTTCAGAAATATGTCTGGGAGGAATGCTAAAACTTTTCATCAATGAGTAAATTGTGAATTAGTAAAAGCCCACAATTGTCAGCTTTTAGAGGCTGGGCTTCCCGGAGCAACTCCCAGAATGTACCCTGAGAATCACTGATCCAGCCAAACCCTCTCATTTATCATCTGCAAAAGTCACTAAGGCTCACAAACATCTTTGGGCTTCCCCAAGGTCACCCAGTTAATTATTGACATAGAAAGTCCCCTCCCAGAGAATCATAGTGGTTTCCACATCACACGTCAGGGATCCTTGTCGGGGATAGAGGAGGGTCCCTCTGTGCTATGGGCCTGAGCTAAGTATGTCTGGGCATAGTCCAAACCTGGCATGGCTGCAAAGCTTTCTAATCCACCTATATGCAGAAGAATAGAAGCTTGGAACTCATTTTATGAGTTGTTTCTGCTAGTGATTTAAAGACACTTCTTTCTCTCCCACACAAACCCGTCACCTCTAGACAATGACTTCCCTGGAGCCCGAGGGCCTGAGGTCCAGGTGTGACTTTCTCAGAGCTGACCAGTACGAAAGGGCCTGGGCTGGCTCCCCGCTCTCCCCTCCCACCCAGAAATGGTTAATTGCCAGCTCCAGGCTGCCTCCAGCCCAGCCCTAATTGGCCTGATCTCAAGCGGCCGAGCTGGAGCCGCAGCAACTCCAGGCCAGGCCGGAGCTGCACGGAGCAGCAGGGGCACTCTTCCAAGGTAATGATTAAGCCGAGCGTCTGGCAAGGGCACAGGCAGCAGAGCCGGGAAGGTGAGCCCTATTCACACCTCGGCCAGGCTGTGGTGGCCAGGACCGGTTTGGAAGGCAGGGCCCTGGGGCACGGGGGCCCAGAGCCGACAGTCACAGCCTCCCCCTGCACACGGGTATCGAGGAGCATCTCAGGCCAGAGCTACTGCTGCCAGCCCTACTAGGACCCTGCCCTCAACCCTGGCACCATGAAGCTGCAGATGCTCTGGACTGGGCTGGAATACACCTGCCGGCTCCTGGGCATCACCACTGCTGCAGGTAAGACCCCGCCTCCCCGCTACAGTCCCCTGTGCACGGTGCACGGTGCACGGTGCACAGCAGACGCAGCTGCTCGAGGGGTGGGGATCGGCAGGCTGGGGACAGATGGACACAGCGGGCCACATCTGCCCTCACTTTTCTTCCCAATGCTTCCAGAAACACTATTTTGCAGGGCAGTGGCAGGTGCAGGGGGGTGAGCCTGGGAGAGGGAGCCTGATGCTGAATCTCTGCTTGGAGACCCATATGACCGTGAGAGCCCTCAGTGTCCTCATCTGGGAACTAAGTAGAGAGGGTCTGCTCTACCTCCTACAGGGCTATTGTGAGGTGGAGATGGGGGGCTGAAGGTGAAGGTATAAAAGACCAGGCCAATATGAGAATTGGATGCCTCACTCTACAGTGAAAAAGATGATCAACGGAGCCCATCCTGCTTTACTCAAACCACAGCCCTATTTCATAGAATGAGAATTCCCAGCACTTGGGGCAGGCTGAGCTCTAGCACTGAACTTAGAGATCCCTGGCTTCCCTTGGCCCACTCCTATCTCATTAACAGAAAGTCCTGTAGAAACCCAAGCCCCCTCCCTGTGGACTGACTGCAAGAACACAGTGTGGGTCTGGGGTAGAAATGGTTCCCTATGCTGGGCTCTTCTCCCTCACCCAGCCTGATCACAGGCCACTTGGCTTTCTGAAAGCACAGAGCAGAACCAGAGCAGCCACGATCCTGAGCTCTGTCTGCTTACTTCCCTACTGTAGACCCAACCTTCAGCCCCATCAGCCCCCACATGGCCAGAGTCTGTGTGGGGGAAGTGAGAAGGCAGCATTCTGAGCTCTTAGCTCTGGGCCCCATTGTCCCTTGGGAACAAGGAAGAGACACATGTTGCTCACTAAGTCCTTACTTGTCACTGGACAAAATCCAGTATGGGTCTTGGCAAATAGGAAATGTCCCCCAGCTCAGACTCCAACAGTACTGGTCTCAGCCCCCGCCCTGTCACCTGCTGATGTATGACCTTGGGTGAGCCACCCAGACCCCCTAGGATGGCATGTTCTGGTCCAGACCTGCTGTCCAGGTGTTTTGGAGGATTAAGGATGCATAAACTGAGCAGAGCTAAGTGGACCGAGGGCATAACCTCTTGGGAGAAGCCTCTATGACATGGGTCAGAGCTTGTTGGGGAGACTGGCTAGCATCTAGGTCCTCAGTTAGCACAGGACATTAGCTGTTGGAGAAGCTCTAATGCCACCCTTCTTGTTGCAAGATGGAGCACCTGAGCTCAAATAGGGGCAGTGACCTTGCCCAAGGTCACAATGCAGATCAAAGGGATGGCCAATCTGGAGCTCAGGTGCCTCAACTTTTGAAAAGGCCAGGACTCTGGCTAAAGAACCCTCTACTTCTCAGAGTAGGAAACCCCACCCAGAAGACACCAGGAAGGGTCTGGAATTGCTCTGCTGAGGGTCTTAAGTAAATGGGCTGGTAGGGTAGTCAGTTAGCACCTCTGACAGAACCACCTTGTTACCTACATGTAAGGGAATGAATGCCGACGCCCACAACTTCCCATGCTGGGGAGAGAAAGGTAAATCTATATAGAGTTTCTGTGTTGATCTTGAGCCCACCCTGCCTTCCTCTAGGCAGTTTTCAGATAACTAAAATGTATCCCTTTTAACTCTCAGATATCTTGGTGATATTCTGCCCACAGCTGAGCCCTGCCTCCTGTCAGGAAGCTGTTTTAAGACATATCTGCTTTCCTAATAGCCTAGCAAAAGACAGTTTAAAAGTCTAATTTATCTCAGCCAGTGGAAAGGTCTGTAACCACATACACACACGCGCGCGCACACACACACACACACACACAAACACTGCTCCTCTTAACAACACTCTTATCTCTGTGCAGAGGGCTGCTGTTAATGCTGAGGATGGGCCTTCCTCTTGATTTTGATAGGACCCAGGCTAAAAATAGGCCACAAGTTACCTTTTAATGGCCAGGCTTTCCAATAATCTTGTTTGAGCCTTTTAGAGTGCTGGGAGCAAGTGGGAAGCTAAAGAGAGGGGCTTTGGTGCTTTTGGGCAAATCTCAAGTTTCTTCCACCGACTAAACTCCTGGCCTGTTTCCAGTGTGTAAGATTTGCAAATTCCTTATTCCCTTAAGCCTCTTGTTGTTGAAATCTCTGTTGAGAAATCTGGGCCTCATTTACGGGGGCATTGCTACCAGAGAGGAAATAAGATTTGAGACAGAGGCTGTCACTTTGCAGAAAACCCAGGAGACCTAACATAGCCCCTGGTCCTTTTGTGAGAAGGAGTGCAGGATATTCAGAAACGGGGAGAAGCATGTGGCCTAAGGTTGCCCAGTGTCACTTGCAGGGACCAAACACCTGCCAATCCTCTTCCCTAGAGGAAAGCCTCTTCCCTAGACCCTTTTCCCTTCTGCATATGGAGTCTGAGACTATTAGCAGTTCTAAGGGCACCAGACCCCAGGAGACGCCACCACAATGGCAAGGTCCAGTGACTAGGGCCTGGTTAGCTGAGCTCATCTCTTCTTCTCCTCTCAGGCCCTTTGGATGAAGCTTCTTCAGGATGTCCAGTGGTCCCATGGGCCATTGGTGCCCCACCCCCATGCCCAGACCCACAACACCAATGGGCACAGACAGAGCATTGCCACTGCTGAACAAAGGCCGGCAGGCCATGAGCAGACAGCACCCAGCTGGAAGTGTTTCTAAAATTAGAAAAAGTCTCTCCCATGAGACTTTTTTATGACTTTGAGCCAGTCATAACGTTTCCAGGTCATCACAGAGCTGCTCCCCAACATTTGTCTTACACTGGCCAGCTTCACTCATTTGCATTACCTCCTTGGCATGGCAGGCAGTGTGTGTGTGTGTGTGTGTGTGTGTGTGTGTGTGCGTGCGCGTGTGTGCACATGTGATGTCTGGTGACTCTGATACTGAGATGTGGCTCCAGGAGTCACTCAAAGAAGCAGACACAACTGGGGAATTGCACACAGACTGTGATCACTCCATACCTCCCCTTGCAGATGCCAGACACCCACTTGTCCAACCCTCAAAGTGGGTTCTCATTGTGTCCACATAAAGGCAGAGACGTGACATCCTGAGTTACAGACTCAGGCCCTAGGGGATGTTCAACCCTTGGCTTAATTCTCACTACAAATCAACCATCAGAAAAGGGAACATGGGAAGCAGGTTTTAACTGAGATGGGAGCACAGAGGTACAGGGTGCCCCTTCTCTGCCCCACAAGACTGGTCCCCATCCCTGTTCTTGGAAACCAGGATTGGCTTCCCTATGAACTTCTGCAGTCCTCTTAGTCCCTGGGTGAGAATCTCCATGTACGTCCTCACCACTCCTCAGCCCCAGCCCCAAGTCTGCGGGGAAGAGAATGGACAGAGCCCACTGTGTTAGCCCTTTGGTGAGACCCCTGCAACTTTCCTCAGAGCAATGGAGGCTCAAGATTGAGGCTTCTCACTGCCAGGGCTTGAGGACTTTTCTTCGTTCTTCCAGCCCCACTTATGTGTAATAGCCGATAATGAACATTATTTGAGTATTTACTGTAAGCCAAGGTCTGTGCTACCTGTTTCAAATGTAGTGTTGCATTTCATCCTCATAATGATTCTTTGAAGCATCATCATCCTCCTCCTCAGCCTCACTGCATGTGGGGGGAAACTGAGGCTTGGTGGCGTGAAACACCTTGCTCAGAGTCTCACAAACAGGAAGCGAAGAGGCAAGATTCTAACTGATGAAGATCTATTCCTGAGACCCTATTCTTATCAGTGTATCCTCGACCTGATTCATGCTAAAGAACTTGTCGTTATATGTCTTGGCAACCCCAAGATGCAGGGTGTAAAACACACAGAGGGTCCCAAAGAGGCCTGACTGAGGCCACGCCATACACAGGCTCAGGCATGTAGGGTCATGGTTAGGTTGGGCACAGCTACACTGAAGCGTAGTAAGCATGACCAAACACTTCCTAAATTTCATCCAGATGTTCATTTTCTGTCTCTGAACAATGACCACGCATACTTTGACTAGCACTGCCAAATCCACCCCTCGACCTCCTCAGAAGACAGACAAATCTGCTCACCTTTCCAGAGGGAACTACCACAGCAGGACCTCCCATTTATGGGTCCGGTGATGCACAACTGATAGCAACAGTAAAGTCACGATCTTGCTAAAACCCCACCAGTGTCTATGCGGGCCAACTGCTGACCTTAGTTCTATTTTACAAATGAGAAAACTGAAGCTCAGAATGTTCAGATAGCTGGACAGAAGTCACACAGCCAGCAGACAGCAGGCATGGTATTGGAGGTCCCGTCTGCCCACGCACAGTGATGCAGTGGAACATCCCGGAACTATGGGCACACTGCTCCAAAGACGGGGCGCCACACACCCAGCAAGGACATGAGCGGGCACTGAGACAAGGCCATTTTGAATGAGCCCTGCTTGTCAGGCTAATGTGCTCTTTCTCACAAATCAACTATTTTAGATCAACCTGGAATCACTTACAGGTTTTGTTTTGTTCCAGGTTTTTGACCTATTAACCTCTTCTGTCCTCCAAGGGACAGAGCCACATTCCCCAAAGCCCCATTCCTTGCCAATATTTGGTTCAAAATGGAGATCTGTCTTATTAATATATCCTAAGACAAAAGAAGCATTTAAACCCAGATGTTCTCATTATTTTTTAAAGAGTACAGCAAATGCATAGTTTGACCTTAACCCTATCAAAGCCTTCAAAAAAAAAAAAATCTAATGCTTCTGAGGCAACCTTCTTGGGCCCTCCATGCTAATTTCCATCCTTCTTAAATGTGTATCCCCGTGACCATTTCCTGCCATCTAAGGAAGCTTTAAGCACTTTAACATGTCCACAAGTGAATTTATTACCCAAGCAAGACCACATTGTTTTCACATCCTCCAAATGGATGTTGACTGTTTTTCTTTTCTGATCCAATTGTTCCAATGAGTAAATGAAATATCCCTACCTCTGTCCCACTCTCTTACCACTGAA